CATCTAAATAATGGAAGAAACGAGGAGGAATAGAGAAGGGAGGAGAAGAAAAAAGAAGAAGAAGGAAAGAAAGAAAGAAAGAAGAACTGAGCAGGTTAAGGGGTTGTGGTAATATATAGAGTATTTTACCAATGTGGTAATATATAGAGTATTTTACCAATGTGGTTCTTGTCGGAGTTTATTTTACCAACAAAATGCACATCATAATGTTGCTTGCACGCGGGAATCCAAAATGTGCAAAAATTTTCCAATCCTGCCCAAACCAGCTTCATGTTGGAAAGAATTCTGCCCATTTTACTGATAAAAATTTTTCAATCCCACCCAAATTACTAGCATGAAGATTATATAAAAAATTCAACGGATTAAAATTCATATTTAACCTAAAATTTACTCAAACCAATAAATCTCATAATGTTAATATCAAACACTTAATATTAAAATTTTACAATTAATTATCGAAATTTCACTAAAAAAATTATCAAAAATTACTAATAACTATCCAAAAAATTTAGCTAAAACAACAATCTAACAAAATTAATGTCCAATAAACTAATGACAATATTTAATAGCTTAAATTTCAGAAAAATAAAATATATATCCCCTTGACTAATTAGTTACAACGTGTTTCATTTTCCGCAATTTAAAAAAAAAAAAAATCTATATTGAACTAGAAAGGCGCAAGTCCGAAGAAGCTCATCAAATAGTTACAGAGAAATACAACTTGAAGCTCGTTGGGTTCTTAATGGGCTTCACTTAGAAGTTCAAACTACAATATGTAGATGCCATTTAGCCCCAAGAAAGTGCGTAAATGGATTGGGTAAAGAATATGGACCTGAATTGTACTAGCACCGTCTCACTTCACCGACCCCGAGCCACCGTCGAGTAATGTAAACCTCATCTTCGTCTTCTTTCAACATTTCCCCGTCTGCATCTATAAAGCAAAGATCTCCGTTTTTCTCTCTATTTGTGCAGCTTTTGGGAATTTGTTGGAGAAAATACTAAAGAAAAGCAAAGATCAAACACATTGTAACTAACTAGTCAAAGGGAAGAACAGAGGAAAGGAAAGCAAGATCACTACAACATTTTTGCCATTTAGCTACATTTTTTACACCTATGCTCACTATTTTCTAAGTATAGGGTTCTATTAGTTATGATTTATAATTTGTGGGTATATGAATAAGTTATAGCTACATTTACAAAAAAAACCGTAGAAAAAATTACACTATAACTACGCAATTTCAATTGGTGTAGGTATATAAAAGAACTATTAGTTACACTATGTAATTCGTGAGTATATGAATTTAAGATTTACTTACAGATATAAAAAACTGTAAGTATATACAATAGATATACCTTCAATCACATATAATTATGGGTATAACACTAACTTATACCTATGATTTTTACAATTGTAAGTATACCCTCATTACCAGAAATTAATAATAAATTAACTACTATTTAATTAATGCTTTTGACTAATGTTTCCATGTACATAAGATCAATTTTTCCTTTTTTAACAATGCGCTAGGAAAAAAAAAAACTTAGTTCAAAATTGAAAAAAAAGAAGTATAAAAAATATATGAAGTACTTGAAATCATATACTACATTTTTTCCCAAATAAAAGGAAAGAAATAAATAACCTTATTAATAAACATATCAATTCATCAAAAAGATAAAAAAAAAATCTTTATATAACTAAAAATGATCATTATTAAAAAATGTAAAAAGTTTTCATTCTCTAGATAGAAAAGGATTTCAATGCATAATAATTAGAGTTTTGTGATTAATTAAATATTTTTTTAAAGTTAAGGGACTAAATTACCAGAACAATAGTTCCTTTTGGATCTAAATGAATAAACCTTAAGTTATGAGATATAAAAGCTAAGGGACCAAATCTGCTATTTTCCCATTGAAGGAATTGCAAAATGGGTGGGAATCCGACACGGGTATGGTGTCGACACATTCTTCGTGGTGTCAGCACCACGCAATAAGAAGAATTTATAAAGATAACCTTTTTTATAACGCATAAGATTTATTATAACTACATCTAACTTTTTGAATGAATTTCAACTTGTGTTATTTGTTAGAAAAAAAGAGTAATGAATGCTTTCAACTTTTTTAATTTTTTTCCTACATATAAGATCAATTTCTCAACATCAATGTGGAAAATTAACTTAGAAACTCTGTTAAAGAAAAATCGGGATTAAATTGAATTAATGCCTTTTGTACTCAATTGAGAAAAATGCAAAATGGAAGTTGTATCCTGCAGGGACCAAGTTGTGACTAGGAAGGAAGTTGAGGACCGAAAAGATAGGTGGACGAAATTTGTGGATCGAAGCATAAATCCAGCCCCTTCAAATATGTTGTCGTTTCACTCAAGCACGGGAAACAATCGAGGTCATCTTCCTCCTAGCCCAACCCCACCGTTAATGCCGTGCGCTGCCATGGCAAAGTTCTTCACGGCTTAGCCGCTTAATCCGATGATCAGCCCAGCCTTAATCAAAGACGAAGTTTCGCGGAAGGTACCCTAGCCAAGGCTTGTGTGGGATTCGGGTATAAAAGGTAAACATTTCAGGGTTTTGGGGGGCCTCTTGAGATCTCAGATCTGAGATTTTTGGGGAGGCTAACGCATGTGTAAAGATTTGTTCTTTTTATGCTCTCACAGTCTCACTTTAGCTTATTCTGCTGTTTGAATGCTTTCTATCTCTTTGTATGTGCAGGTGGATGCACTTGTAAGGAGTGGAATGGTTATTGGACTAGGGTCTGGTCAGGCTTCTGGTATGGCTATACAATATTTGGGTCAGCAACTTTGTGAAGGTTATTTAAAAGACATAATAGGGGTACCTACGTGAGTTTTTGCTCTCTCCTTTCATGTTAATGATACTTTTCTAAATTTCTGTTCATTTGCACTGCTAATTAAATGATCTATCTTATCTACGAAGTATTTATTTACAATTATTCCCGTTTGTGTTTTGTTTGAATTGTACTAGTTCAGCTGAAATAGTAACTAATAGAACAATGGGACAATAGCATTCAACTGATTTTAATGGTGAAAACAAAGAGCAATAGTTTTCTTTTTTTTACTTCCTTCCTGAACTTCTTCCGGCATCCTAGGATATCCTATTCTATTTGCTTTAAACAATTTCTTAATGTTCTTAGATGCTCATCTTCTTTATTTTGGTGATTGTCTTAAATTAGGTGTAAAAGAATTTATCTTCTTACCTTGGTTGCCTTATTGGCTTTGTCACATGAAACCTTTTTACTTTTATTTATGTTCAACCTGAGTTGCCCTGGTTTTATGCAAGTCTATAGTGAGTGCAAGTGAGACAGCAAAGTTAGGAATTCCATTGGTGGACTAAATTACCAGAACAATAGTTCCTTTTGAGATCTAAATGAATGAATCTCAAGTGGGCACAGATTATAATCATCTACAATTTCTTTTTTTGGGGTTTGTGACTGTTATTACTTCTTTTATAGTGCTCCTCTTCATCATTCTTTGAAACTTCATGTGTTGTATTTTCCAATAAATATGTAGAATTTGAAACAAAATTAGAAAGTTCCCAAGAAAAAATTATAGAAACACACATCTCTATTGGGTATTGGCACATTGTTTTACCTATGGTCTTTGTTTTTAGCAGTTCAATTTGCGCTTGTATTGTTCTTTCTGAATAAATGTATTCAACATAATACGATGAAATTTGAACAGTACCATGGTAGGACTGAAAAAGTTTACTAACCTGGCTTGAGTTGCTTTATGCAGATTGGTTTTGCATTTGATGACGTTGATATCATAGAGGAAGGAACACTAATTGCAGTCATTGGGCACCAAAGATTGCAAGGTGAGGAGTCCATAATCCAAGAGAAGGTTAGTCCACTATTTCAATGTCCTGTTTCTGTAGCTTTCTAATGGAAGATGAGAACCATGACATGAGAATTTGTAAAAGACAATGTGAGCTGTATGATACTTTGTGACATTATTATACTGAATTTATAGAATCATATGGTTTTTTCTTCTAGAGGTTTTGTTACCATAGGCTGAGTTAAATCATTTTGCTTGCAATCAATACTAAATGCAGCTGATCAGCTTGTGTTCATGGTCTCAGAAAATCAATATAAAGGTGTTCTAGATGGTTTTATTCCTGTTCTAATACAATCTGTAAATAGCACCGACTTTTCTTGCTCATTGCTAATATATTTTTAAAATATTTATAATGATAAAAGTTGTTGCAAAAAAGTGCATTTTGCAATGTTTTAATTATCACTGAAAGAGGTATTTTTGGAAAAAAAATGATAACAATTAAACTTAGGCTTCCTCACACAGTTCGTAAGAGTCAGCCATCAGCTTGCTTTCTGTCATAACCATGCAAATAGAACAATTAGGTATAAGATTTACTATTCATTTTTTTCTTTTTGCCCCACGAAGTAAGCCTTGCTATTCTTGTTCTAAGTTCTCATATCTTATAACAAGTTAAATCCCTTTTCTTTGATATGAAATTATTCGTAGTCCTGAAACCTTGGCTTGCATTCTGCACTGAAATTGAGTGGTGAGTCTGGTGACTAGTTGAATTTTCTAAAGATTATGTTTGAACCCATCATTTTTTTCTTTTTTTTATGTTATCTTTGATTAAATTTTATGATATATACTGTGCTTTTGGTCTTAACATGTTTGCTGTGTTGTTCCTTTCTTGTTAGCAAGTTTAGAGTAGCTAGACTTTTGACTACCTTCAGTCCTCTTTGCTGATTCACTCCTCTCTTGTTTTACAGGATTGAAGGACTTGTTCTCCTTCTTGTTGGAAGGATTGAAGTATCTATTCTTTACACATGGTTCCATTTTTCTACCAAAAAAGAAGAAAAAAGGATAAAAAACCCTGCCACGTCTCAGCACCCAATTATTGACATGTCACTTCTGTTTAAAGGTATAGAAGTCCTTGAAATGCAGATTCTAAATTTATCAGCCTTGTGTTCTAGGGAGAGATCTTGAATGGGCCAGGCAGCCCAACTCAACCCATTTCATGACCTGCCAGCTATGGATACAAAAGTATGGTTCATTTTTCTACAATTTATTCCTGGGGAATTCAGCCACAGCAAAATTAAGAAGGAAATCTTCCAAGAAAATCATCCGTCACATATTGGAGGTAAGGGCCATATGTTTCTGAATATGGCTATATGAGCTTGTCTTTGTTGATCCAGCAATTTATCTCATGATTTGCCCTATAGTTTATTTCTATGTTTGCTGATTGAGTCTTTTGTGTTTCTTGCTTCTGATTAGTGGAGATCTCTGCTTATGCAACATTTCTTAGGTATTCTATTTTTTAAGATGAATTGTTGAGAGGAGAAAGGAAATCAAGATAAATAACAACAGAACTTCTTAATCATATATTATATTAACCCATGTAATTATAAAACTAAAATACAAATGTTGATAACAAAGCTCCAAAAGATAGTCCTACCCAAGAGACACAGAGAGAGAGAGACCCACACCAAGGATTAATGCATTAAGGATATGGGGAATCCACTTAAGTCTTCTCGGATTGATTTTCTTGATTAGTTTCATCATCCCTTGGGGAAGTGATGAAACTAGACTTCAATCTCTCACTTTCACCCTTTATGGAAGTGAAATTAAAGATCCTAGAGAAAAGGTTTGCTAATTTTGACTTCAATCTCTCACTTTCATCCTTTGTGGAAGTGAAACTAAAGTGACCAATCAAAGGATCTACAATGCTATGTTTCATGCAGGCTAACAAAGTTACTGTTTTAGACTCCTTTGTGGAAGTGAAACTAAAGTGATCAATCAAAGGATCTACAATGCTATGTTTCATGCAGGCTAACAAAGTTACTGTTTTAGACTCGGAGTGTTTCCTAACTGTACAGCCAGTCTGAATCAAGGTGAGATAGATACCTATAATAGCTGCAAGAGTTGAGATGCCAACCACCCAGCTCCTGAAGTAATGGTGCACCAATTTTGCTCTGATCTGAGCAAACGTACTTTGATAGTGGTTATTAGCATCAGATACAACTTTTTGTAGATTTGACTCGTAACCATCAAATGTTATTTCCTTGCAGAGGCTATTGACCAGCTCAGCCACCTCTTTGTCTCGACCTAAAGAATGGTGGATGACCTGTTTGTGGTGAAGAAGTTCTACATCCTCAGCTGAGTTTATTAGACCATCAAAAAAGAACAAATACGATGTAACATATGGTTTGCACTCACGGTGGCATTGTTCAAATGCTACCATGTTGCGGAACAGAGTTCCCTTGTAATCATCAATGTAAAGAGGAGGGATTTTCAGAACCCTTTTATTCAGCCATCCTTCTTTTTTAAGGTCTATATCTAGAAGGCGTGCTTTACCTTTCTTGATAATGAACCCTGCTTCTTCCAGCTCTGTTGCAGACCTCATCGTGTTGGTTAAATTTGTTTCCATTCCTTTGCTTTCTGTGCTCTTGTAGGAATCACTTGTCCTGTTCTTTTCTTCTACGGTCGGGAGGATACTAGACCGGAAGAGATCCAAGAAGTGTCTCCCTGTTACTTCTTTACTGATGCAATTTAGAGTTGGATCTCCTTGAAGCAGCGGGACAAAAAACTGAAGGGCTTGATCTCCCAGAGAAGTATTTGATTCTGCCGAACTGCTTGTCAACTCAAACAATTTCTGCAAAACACAGAATGGCAGTTGGTTTTCTAGCATAATCATGTCACGGCGAAGAATTGGCAGCATCCACCTTTGAATAGAAGGAGCATATTTGAAGTTGTGCTGTTTTAACTCTCTGAAGAGCTCGATGACGAAGCAGCCATCAACCAGCATCATCTCCACAAAATCTTCTCTGCTAATCTTAATGTGATCCTCATAGCAGCTACGAGCCTCCTGTTCTAATTCTTCCATAGCATTCTTCACCGTATGTTTTTTGACTCCATTAGGCTGAGTAGACTCAAAGAGGCGGTCAATGGATTGCTTTTTGAGCTTTTCCATTTTTTGTAGTCTTTTCTTGTCTCCGTGATGATAGGGGCCGATGGAGATGATGCGGGGAGAATAGGCCCTGGGTTCCATACCACGAATGTCCATGGGGACTCTGTAGATGCAGACGGGATCTCTCTCTTTACCTCCCCAATTTGAGCCCTGAAGATCCCCTCCATCTACATTTTCTGTAATGCTATGGAATGTTCTGCTTATCGTCTGTGAAAGCAGCCTGCAAAACAACGTATTCCTCATTGCTGGATGAAGAACAACTAAATCAGGCACAAATACAAAAACCACTTGTGTTGCATTACTCTCCATGTATTATTGTTGATATAGACTTTCTAGGTCAATGCTTCATTTTAAGTCTTCTTATTTTATGCAAAAAAATCATTAATTTGTGGTTGTTGTGATTGACTTAAGGATTGACTTTTGTCGCTAATTGATGGGATTACGCGGTTCTCTTATTTTCATGCCATCATTTTTTTTTTTTTAACAATTTTGACATTATTTACAAGTGTATACCTCTATGACATCACTCATAGAGGTAAACAGTTTAAACCTAAAATTCAATACCACTTGACCAAAACGAATCATTCATTTTTATGCCACCATTTCATTATTAATATATCAAGACTTTCTTTTTTGCTACCTAATCTTCCAAATGCACCTTCACGAGATCATTTTACCAAGTAAGATACAATTATTACATAAGAAATGTGATTTTTAATATGGATGGGTACTTTTGATTTTTATTGTTTAGGTACTGAACACTCTTTAAGTCTTGCATTACTCTCCATGTATTATTGTTGACATAGACTTTCTAGGTCAATGCTTCATTTTAAGTCTTCTTATGTTGAGCAAAAAATCATTAATTTGTGGTTGTTGTGATTAAGGACTGACTTTTGTCGCTAATTGATGGGATTACGCGCTTCTCTTATTTTCATGCCACCATTTCATTATTAATATATCAAGACTTTCTTTTTTGCTACCTAATCTTCCAAATGCACCTTCACGAAACCACTTTACCAAGTAAGATAAAATTATTACATAAGAAATGTGATTTTTAATATGGATGGGTACTTTTGATTTTTATTGTTTAGGTACTGAACACTCTTAATAAAACTTTTCTTTATGTTTATGTATTAATAATATTTTAATAATTTTAATATTCAAATTATAAAAAAAATATATTTTTTGTATTGAAAAACACATATTTTATTAGGAATTGTTAAGGCATAATTTAATATTCATTAATTAAAGTATCTTTAATTAATTTTATATAAATTTTTATATTAAATTCATAATTCTTCATAAATTTTGCATAT